TACGAGGGCGGTGAACCATATCCTTACTCATTCGACTGAGTTCCAGAAACCAAAGGTTGCTCGACAGAGTTTGATCAATTTTGTTGGTGAAGGTAGGGGAATATGCATTCTAGTTTATAACTCGATGACTCATTGAAACGATCTTGACTTTTAGGTCTTCTCGTCGCCGAAGACGAGGACCATAGACGGCAGGTAAGGTACTTTCCATAGTATGGAATAGTGTTATTCTAACGCCAACGATCACCTATAAGCGAAGAGTCTTGGTTTGTTCTTGCTGTCCTATCTCCATGTAGCACAAACTGAGATACTCTCTAAACTAGAACCCTGCTTTCGGACCTGTTCAGATCAGGGAGCTTACCCCCGTTTTTCTTAGTAAAGCTGCTCAGGTGAGTCAGGGTCAAGGTTTTGTACTTCCATTCGTTCTAGCGTGGTTCCGTGTTCTTTTTTTCTTAGCTGCGAGATCTCTGGGTGTCAGAACTTGGAGAGAGCGACCAGCCGAAGAGGATCGATGTTCTAGGTTGGATGAGCCGGGCCACTTTGGACATCATCGGACTTGCAGGTAAGATCACTCCACTTGTTTCCTTTGGGCATAGAAGCTAAGAAAGATGTAGGTTTCGACTATGACTTTAAGAATCTGGAAACGGGGACGATGAATGAACTAAGCGAAGCGTTCAAGGTCATCTTCGGAGGTAGCAATGCGAGCCGTGTGTGGGCTTTCATCCGACTGAGGTACCCGATTCTGAAATTATTCGTACGTCGTAGTGCTCTCTGAACACTCCTCAACGTCACACCGTTTATACATTTCTGGACTTGTAGCCAAGCACACAAACTCAGCGTATGTCAGAGGCCAAGGCTGCCATGACTCGAATTGGAATGCAGATGATCGAAGAACGTAAGAAGGCCATCCAGTCGGAGAAGACGGGCGAGAAGAATGAATTCGGGAGGAAGGATCTCGAGGGTAGAGACTTGCTTTCTTTACTCTTAAAAGCCAATCTTGCGACGGATATTCCGGCGAGCCAGAAATTGGGCGATGAGGAGGTGTTGGCACGTACGATTTTTTTCCTGTTTCATCATACAATGGTACATTCCTGACGCGTGGATATCATACAGAAATCCCGACGTATGTTTACACGGACATAGTGTTTTTTTCACTAACTTTTAGATTGATAGTTTCCTCGTTGCCGGCCATGAAACAACCTCTACCGCTGTAACATGGTGTCTCTTCGCATTAACCCAAGCACTACACGTTCAAGACAAATTGCGTCAGGAACTGCTTGCTGTCGACTCCGAAACACCTAGTATGGACGAATTGATGGCTTTGCCGTACCTCGACATGGTCGTTCGGGAAACCCTTCGCGTTCATGCTCCAGTTCCTTCCACCATTCGACAGGCACAGGAAGATGAGGTCATTCCTGTCGGTGAACCTTACACGGATCGGCATGGTGAGGTGCGGGATGAAATTCGGTAAGTCATGTGTGGTGGTTACCTAAATATTTTTGCCGTGCTGAGAAATGTTTCGCGTAGTGTTTTGAAAGGAGATGTGATTGTTGTACCCATTTTATCCTTGAATCGGTCAAAGGAGATATGGGGACCGGATGCCATGGAATTCAAGTATGTTTCGGAGTTCTATTTTTTCCCGACTCTTCTAATAGTTTCTACCGATACAGTCCGGAACGTTGGGAAACCCCTCCTTCTGGTACAGAAGATATTCCCGGTGTTTGGGGACATATTCTAAGCTTCCTCGGAGGTCCAAGAGCTTGTATCGGATACCGTTTCTCCGTTGTGGAGTAAGAGTCCTTGTTCCGTTGATCTTCTCCAAATCAGCGCTGATACACGGATTTTCTTTCAGGATGAAATCGTTACTCTTCGTTCTGCTCCGTTCATTTGAATTTGAACTTGCTGTTGATCCTGCTTCAATTCAGAAGAAGCAGGGTGCTGTTTCACGTCCTTTTGTCTCGACTGAGGCAGAGGTTGGGGATCAAATGCCTTTGTTTGTGAGGCACTACCGTCGTTGTTGAGGAAATACGTGCAAGGTATCCAATGTTTGTTCATCACCTCCACTCAGTTTGTATATATGACAATATCTGATCTGTACTACTAAGATTCTTTGTCTCAATCAGAACTTGGCTATCTGCTGTGAGCGTAAAGTGCGATGGAGATAGGGTGAAGAAATGTTCATCGAAGGCTAAATAATGTTCGTCACCTAGACGTGAGAATTTGGTCAAGCATCTTTGTTCGTTCGTGCTACCATCTACATACTCATTATTTGCCTCTTATATTCTTCGTCAAGCTATATCCGTGGATTGCATCACTTATTACCGTTTTGTCCATGTTCTAGGATTTAAATTTTAGGCTTCACCGTAACTAAAAGTGCCGATGAACTTTAAAACTAGTTCTCCAACACTGTCACCTATCGCTTGGTGGTACTACTGGTGTATCCTAAATACAAGTCCCACTAGGTTGTCTGGTCAGTGATGTACGTCAAGCCGAACCCAACCATCAGGTTCGAAGATTGATGTTAAGATTTTCGGTACAAACCTGCAGATCATGCAGATCGCCCTTTCATGCACCAGTGCCGCTATCATCTTCTGTCCGTCCCGGGACTCCTCAGTTGTACCTCTTCGTACCGGCCGTTGTGCCTATACAGCCATTCTCAAGCTTCGATCGCCGTCAACCTGTGTCGGTTTACAAATACCATGGGGCTTCGATCTTCTCGTCACATTGCTCAAACTTGTATTCTTGTTATATATGTCTATCCCACATTGTTTCGAGGCTTCAATCATCTAAAGCTGTTCTGCTTCTTGAAACCCAACCTTCTGCTGTAGATCCGCATTCAACTTGAACCAGGGCGTCGAGCCTTGTTCATCTGGTTTCCATGTAGAATTGCAGCTTCATCACGAAACCATGACTAGAGAGGTCGAAAGGTCTCCTATCTGTCATTCGAATGCTGTTAAGATTCACCAGTTTCAAATGTTACCGTTAAGCTTCATTGATTCAGATGCAGGTGTCCTACAGTATATAGGGTCAAATCTTGACGACAGAATCTCTATCCTACCAACCAGTGTATACTCTCAATTCACCATGTCTGAACTAGGTTTAACACCAGATGAAGTTGTTGCTGTATAGTATGTTCTTTCACTTTGTCTAGTATCCTCTCTGCCACTTTGTTGATTCCCTGTAGCTCACAGACAATGTCTCAAACTTACATGTATACTGCAAGTTTGGGTGAGTAAGAAATATATGTTCTATCTATTATCATTGACCCACTGTTCTACCCAGTTCTAGTTGTCTATGATGTAATTCTGGCCTTTCCTCAAGAATGTAGATCTATCTGGAAAAAGAAATTTGGCACCATCACTATACTCTATCTGCTGATCAGATATGGTACAGTTCTCAATATGTCATTGCATGTACTTGAATCATTCATTGTGATTACTACTGTCCCTGTGAGTTATTTCATCCACACATTACTAAAACAATTCTAAAGGGGGTTTGACAGAGGTACAGGATATTTATTTGTGGGTCCACTATATAACAGCTTATAATCTTGTCAGCTGCAAGGCTGCAACTATCATTGGTTATATCATAGATATAACTTGTAGGCTTTCTTTTACAGGTGAGTATTTTTGTTGTAGGTTTATAAATAAATAATAATCCAATATATATCTGTAGCATTTGACTGCCTCCGCATATGGGGTATTACTGAACACAAGTGGTTGCCTACTCTTCTGGTCTTTGCTCTTGGTATATTTGATCCAGTCAGCAATATAGTCAGCCCTTCCCTTTAATTGAATCTATCTATACTTATTCTATCTTTCTAGTATAATTTCTCTATGCCTCAATCATTCATAGTTGTGCCTTCTGGCCCAATTGCAGGCTGCTGGGCAATTGGAAAAGTTCAGCACTATAAATAGTGAGCATAGTCTTTTTGAGGATCTGCTTATGCACTAGTAACATTACTAATTCAATGTAAAAGCTGTATGGTTCTTTAGATCTCCTACTCTTGAATATATACTGACCCCTTTTAACTCCTAGTGGGTGTTATTACAAGAGCAATTGCTCTTGCCTCAGATGTTCTAATCCTAGGATTAACTTTACATTCATCATGGTATATCTTCAAAGCCAATGAAACTGTGAGAGCTCAAAGCAAGCTTCTGTCCACACTTGTTGAAAATGGTATGTCCTTTTCTATAATAATTTACCATATCACTAAGTTTTCTACAGGTACTATTCAATTTGGGTAAGATTATTAATCTATTGTAATATTGGATTGTTTATTAACATTGAGGTAGTACCTTTGTGTTACTCAATGTGGTAGCAATAACCTTGGATCTGTTATCCATTACTGACAATATAGGTGTAGGTTTTTTTCAATAGGTTACCACCCCTTTACTCACTATCATATGTGTAGAATGCTAGTCAAGATTTTACATTCTTCATCTTTATTCAAGAAGGGTAAGAGATCTTGCAAACAATGAATAGTTTTTGCTGATATGATTTATTTATTCTAGCCTCAATTCTATCATCCTCTCAAGATTTATCTTGAACCTTCATTCTATATACCATATAGATAACACCTCATTTGATGCTAGTCATACTAGCACAAGTATAAATTTTGTTCCTGCTACTCTGGATGGCTCCTGTATCACTAGCAGGGAGACAAATACCATGGAGGATGAAGAAATGCAGTTCTCAAATAATCCACTTGCTACTGAACTCCATGGCAATCATGTAATCAGAAACTCAGAATTTCAAAATGACCATGAGCTGTTTGCTCAAGCTGGGTAAGTCCTCCACTTACAATCTTCATATTATTCAAAGTCTAACATCTTTTTAGACCAAGTTCTGGGATTGACATTTCTAATAGGATCTTTCTTTGATCTACCTCTACCTCTGTATTACTGAGTTCAAGTGACTTTTGGTGTTATTTATCCAAGTGATATAAACCACTGCCTGATGCATCCCCTCATTGTATTCTTCCTTATCCTGCCCTCTCACAAGGCCCAATGGTCTAGAGGTAAGATACTTGCTTTGGGTTCTATGAATCAATATGCAAGGGATCCTGGGTTCAATTCCCAGTTGGGCCCTTTTTGGAAGGTTCACTTGGGTTCTTGCAAACGACTTGGACATGCACAACTCGTTTTGATGATGCTCACGAACAACAATCATTTCATACAGCCGGTTGCGACGGGTGGTGTCCATTCTCCAACACATTTAATAGTCGTTTCCGGTGTTCATGTGGATAGCCTCAGTAGCCGGGCTGCATGTGTAATTATTGCATTGCGTGAAGGTGACGGAAGTGAATTATTACTATAGTTGCTAAATCGAGAGTGGCATGATATTGTCGATCACATATGGAAAGGGATGAGAGCCTCGGGATTCATCTGGGAGCTTAACCGTTTCATCTTGTTCTCCTGCCACGGTCATCGACCCTATACCCTTTAGATAGTTTCTCGTTCTGGACACGGTTGATCACAAACTCTTGACCTCCTTCAGAATCACGATTGTACATGCCACCACGCCCTTCTCCCGCACCATCGAGAGGTTCCTACTACCCCACAAATGATTCGTCGACTTACCGTGATCTTTTGTTATTCGAGGAGAGGCTCAAAATAAATGCTGCCTCGCTGAATAGAAGAAAACATCGCTACCAATGTGCGTTAACATTCGATGAAGTACTTGCCCGCTTGGCTTACGCTAGGTCCTCTCCCGAATGTGCATTGTAGTCCTACTCCTGCAGTTGGTCTTGACCATACTGTTCCTACTGTCAGAGGTATTCTTGGTGACAAACTTCCTTGCTACACCATGTCATTGGGTAGTAAGCTCCATAGTTTCTGAAAGCTTCGTCCACGACGCCGAAGTCCTCGTACACCATTACATTGCAATGGGTCTTCTTTGCATCTCTGTGACCACCCTAGTGCTTTTCTTCGTGAGTGGGATGTACTCTGAGAAAATAGCATACGCCAATAGGTATGTAGCCATAATTTCAACTCTACTATCCTCGTATTCAACACTCTATTGGACTAGATACGTCCCCCATGCCAATCGCGCATTACGAAGCTTCAATATGTACCTCAATGTCCGACAACCTCCATTACGCTCCAAACTACCATTCAATCCATTCTCGCTGCTCTTTCCCCGCACGTCTCCTACAGCACCCCAATCCCCACCAAGTTCGCCGTCATCCCCAAGACGGCGTTCGCCCTCTCCTAATCGGACTACGAAACGAAGCTCTTCTGTACCCATATCTCCAATACCTCCCTCGTCGAACCCTCGAGGTGAACTCATATTTTCCTCCAAGGTAGATCGTTCATTCAGGGAATGCTACGACCGATATCGTGCCGCCTTCGAACGGAGGAGGGTGGAGAAGGATCGTGCTGCGTATCAGGCTACATGGACAGGATGGCTCCATATGAAGATATTCAGGATCCCTCCGGCCCAAACTTCATCCGGAAGCGCACCAAGTGGGACTGCGACTCCTGTGAGCGCAGGATTGTCTGGTCCGGCGAGGACAGGGAGTGCTGCAGGTAATAGAGGAAGGGGAGGTAACACGCCTACGTCGTCAAGACGGTCGAGTCCGGTGCCTACGAGACCATCCAGGATGGGGAGGGGAGCGACACCACCTGCATCAGCATCGCTTGACTCATCATAAGCTACGTGTATGAACTTTTAGTAGAATATCTAATATTGTATTATATATTTAGTATTTCATGGGATTAGGTATATCTCCTTCTTGATTGGCCTCTGACCGGGATGACAATCAGTGCAATCGTAAACCTCCGTGTTACGCAGGTGTCAGCAAGGATGATCCAATCTATTTCGCCTGCAGAAATGAACCTAGTGGTATCCGGCTCCTCGCAACGACGGATTCATAATAGCGGTGGTCAAGCAAGCTCGAAGGAACGCAAATTGACATGTTCTATGCATAGCCCGATCCGGAGATGAGACGGTATGAAGGTGAGAGTTCCTCCATTTGGGAATCAGGGAGTTTCTGCAGACTGAGAGGATCGACATGACTAGAACGTTATATATGTTATTTTTTATGGGGGCGTCCGCCGCGAAATGTTTAATCGACTGGAAGCTTGGATCCGCCCTTGCCTCCTTCCGAAGGTACGTCCGCCCTCATGCTCGTCACTGGTAAGAACAGAATAGGTATTTAAAACGACGAATGTCATCAAATCTCTTCCTTGAGTCTAATGGAACTCCTTTTGACAGGCTATGACTATCCTAACGACAGTGCGCCCTGCGTACGATACAAGGCCCAGGAAGGAAAGCCCCTGCCGGAGGGCATCACAATTATGTCCTTCTTATCACTACGCCTCACGACGTCATGACCGGAACGACAGTTCGTGGTTCATGGTTCCGATTTACACTTCCCTCATACAGATATCGTCGCGCTTCACAAAGGTGATACTCTTTAAAACACACTTAAGTTGGTGTTGGATTTGATTGTTTGGTCGGTATATGTACCGTTGATAAACCTGGACCTTATGTGACGAACCTGAAAGGTAGAGACTGCGTCATGGCTTCCTTTGACTAAAGGAAGGCTAACCTCATAAAGGTATTTGTGGCAACCAAATTCTCGAATCCACCCACAAATATCCCAAGGGGACTCGCGTGAACGAGTGGGCAAACCAAGAGTCCGATATCTCACATGTGCCAGGGACTGTAACATAGTCAACAGTGAATTACACACTACTAAGTATACAAATTGTATTATGCACATTCTCCCTTCATTCGATCTCTTTATTTTCATTCTTGAAATGCAGTACATCACTCCCCTCACCATACACCTCCCACACAAAAGCACTCTGACAATTCTCGATCCCAAACTCCTGGATCGGCGCCAGCCCCTCTGGTCTCACTTCATGCGCCTCTTCCTTCATCTTAGCCTTCGCACCCTGTCCCCAAATCTTCCATTTCGTCCGTCCCTCCTTAAGGGGTACAATAAAAGTTCCAGTCTGTCTGAATGTCAGGCTGATCCTCTCGCCGTTGTTATACCGTTCGGCGGGAGATTTGTCCCTGAAAAGACGTCTGTCCATTCGAATACTATGCATCCACTTAGCATTGGTTTCGAGCCCCGTGACAAACATACTGTTGTGAGATAAAGGGATACGTTGCTCGGTACGCCGGGCTTCGTCTATCAGATCAATGCGATGAGAACCTGAAGGGGCGAGGAGTGTAAGTACTTTATTTCTCAAATGGGAGAATATCAAGTATTAGTTCCGTCTCCCCTTCAGCGATCGGATCGCCAGGACCAAGTATTGGTATTTTATTTTTGGTATTGCTCTTTGTTGCATATCGACTCGGAGGTTTTGAAGAGGTGTTTGAAGGGGTGCTATGGATGGAAGTTTGATCCGTGATGAAAGCTAGCTATAGGAGAGGAAGTAGAGCCCTGAGGCGTGAGAGGGTTGTGTCGACTAATGGGAACTTGAAGACAGTTCGAGTCTGTTCAAGTCATGACATAATTTAATGTGAGAGACCCTTGCCAGGTACACGTACATAGATAAGTGCCTTGTTACGTACTACTAGTCCAACCTGTACACAGAGGTAGTGTTGTAGTAGTTTGTATATTCGGGCTCCGTCAGGACGTCTGTCGAAAGGGTTGCAAACCTGCTGTAGTAAGGGAAGTGTCAAGACATTCGTAAAAACGACCAGTACGAATACTTCATATGCACATCCAAGATCATAATCTACTTTGCCCAAAGAGGACAAGGTATCAAACACTCGGGGCCCTGACAGTACAACTAGGTTGGAGGGGACAGGGGGGGCCACAAACCAAGAAATCCAAAAGTCTAAACGTAACTGTATGACCGGGGTACTGAACACTCGGGGTGATGAAAAATCGAACAATTGTAGGTCCAAAAACATGCAAGGGGGTTGTACTGAACTATACACATAACGACTACGGGATATATGTATATATGTATGTGGATGAGGACTGAGTACTGAGTATCCATGATGATGATGATTGGGGAATCGGGATATCGAATGATGGGTTGAATCCATGTAACAAAAGAATGTTCCGTCGTGAAAACATATGGATGCAGATTGAGTACGGGGAAGTTGAGAAGGTAATGATGAGGAGGGGTTGAGGGAATGTGGGTGTGACACATGGGTTTGAGTTGAGAGAATGTGAGGAAGGGGGAAAAGATGTAAATCCAAATAAAGAGAAAAGGAGATCCCTGATCAAATCCAAAAACCGAACGAATAGAGAGAAAACATACAAGCTTAAAATCAAGCTTGGTGGGTCATGTCACAAAAACAAGAAGCATAGAAAAACCGTGACTTCAGGTTTCAAAGAGTTTCAACTTTCAAGCAATCGCTCTTCTGGCTCTATCTGTCCCTCCGTTCCCGATGAGAACCGTCATCCAGCCAAACATGGCCATGAGGAATCGGACAAGCCAAGCTGGATCAGCACCCAATCCGAGACCGGGCCTCAACTGCATAGCAAACGCAATGTCGAGTTCAGGAACGGGAGCACGGTATGCACGACGTCTGCCAGGAATCTCGACCTCACGCATCTCAGGCTCGGAAGCGAGGGGTGGATCGGGATAGAGGGCACCGGGGATAGATAGGTGTTCGATAGAAGGGGTGGTTGACCGAGAGAGTTGACGATCAAGGGTTGGACGGGGAGTAGAAGACCGGGAGGTTGACGCGCTTGCGAGACCGAGAGCTGGGGCATCCGCAGCTCGGAGGGACCAAGCGGGTTTGGAGAGAGGTGAAGAGAGTAAGGTTGTTGTGATTTCTCGCATTTGGGTTGGTAAGAGCAAGGGGGTACGGGGAGGGGAAGGGGGAGGTGTAGAGAAGGGAGTGGAGAATTGAGGTAAGGGAAGGAAATCGGGGTCGGGGTGGTCTTCGTTCAAGTTAATGACGATTTGAGGGAGTAGATCTGAGCGGATGTCCAGTGCAGACAACGGACGTTCTTCGACATCGAAGAATTCGCGTCGTGGAACTTCTCGTCCTTCTCGTCGTATAGCTCATCTTCTGAAGACTCAGTCTCGAGAATGATGAGATCGACTTTCTCATTGATCACCTCCACGACCAATTCGGGGCGAGCAGGAGCTGGCAGAGTCCTTTTCTCGGT